AAAGCTTTTTTCAGCTGATTAAATGCACTTAGTTAACAAACCAAAATTTATTCTTAAAAATTGAACTGTAGAATCTGGACAAGATTATGTTTCTCCCAGAAAAACAGGTTTCACTGTAAAGGTTTAGATAGACGAACGTGTGACCACTTTTGAGAAAAGTTGTAATAGATTTTTTTGAGAACCACCAGGTCTTCTTGTTTAATTTATATGCTGTGGATATGTTTGTATGTTTTAAAAAACATGGAGGACTCCATATTTTTTTAATGCAAATGATCTTATAAGCTGCTATGCAAATTCTATTAAAAGCTCTATCTACTATTAAAGAGTAAAACATTCTTGAAGCTTTCAGGGAAGACCTGTAGACTTAAGCACTTTCTCTGCTTTTTTGTATCTGGTCTTAGACACTTATGCTGAGTTATGTTCTTATTATTTTCACTGTTTGTAAGCTATTGATTGTAAGCCAAAGGTCATCATTTCTCAGTCCCTAAATGAAGAAGTAAAATGCCTGATCTCTTTCATCTCAAATCATATTTCTGGTCATATCTGAATATCTGTGTGAAAGAAAGAGACATTTAAATTTGAGATTCTGCTTAAACTTTTAAGTTGAATTTGACTATAGCCATATTCATTCTTTGTATGTATCTCTAACAGGTCTTTTGTATGCCTGGTGATATTATACTCTGCCTTGAGTTTAGACAGTTCTTTCAGCTAAATATGAATTCTTATTGTAGCTTTTTTCCCCTCCTGAAGATGAAAGCAGAAGAATCTACCATCTGCTACCATTCTCTCAAGAATGCTTAGTAACCTAGAATTAGTTTGACTTTCTGTATGTTGTCTTTAAAAATTGACAGCAGCAGTCTCCCCTGCTGCCCCACTTTTTAAGATATCTCGTTTACTGTGCTGAGTATATAGACAATAAATGTGTAATGATAGTTCTAAAAAAATTAAATGCAAAAAGGTGCTTTTACCTCTAGTTAACTCTGATATTTTCCAGAGGGCCCCTGGAACATGTCAGAAGAATTTTTTCTCACTAGAGAAAGTATTTGACTAATTTGGCTTATTTATCTGATATATATATATTTATTTACCAGGAAAGCACTGTCAAAGAGAATGATGCTAAACTTTGTTACTGAATGTTTTGTATTACAGAAATATCAGAATTTCCTTATGTCAACTGTTTTACAGTAAGCTCTCATCAGATCTTTAACCATTGTCATTTGTAAGTCTTTTGTCATTTATAGTATTATCCCTAAACTGGTAAAGAACTAGATTTCAGCAGAACAGGTATTAGTTACATAAGATTACATAAACTAAAGAAAATGATTTTGTGTCTTTTTGTTTCAAATGTTGCTGGTAAAGTGTTTTAACCTTGTTCTCTTAAACTGACAACAGTTTAGTAAATGACTATCTTTATGAGCAGAATTGAAACATCCTTCTCTCTACTTGATCCCTCCAGAGTTTAAAAACTTTCAGTGACTGTTTTTGTATTCCATGGCAGTATGTTTATTTGCACGAGTTCAATAAGAATCTGCTTTCCTTGTGAGAAGACTACTTAAGAACACTGGTTATACTACCAGGGCTTTGACTGGAATGTCGTACCTGAGAGACATGTGCATAGACTCAGATGTGAACAACTTTAAAGAACTAAGATTGACTTTATAAAGCCAACAAAGCCCCTTGGAAGAACTGGCCTGGTACCTTGCTTACAGAGTTCCCAGCAGCCTTACCAGGTGAGTAAAGAAGGTCACTTCCTGGCAGGTGCAGAGACCTCGAGAAGAGAAGAATTCATCCAAATCTACAGGTACTGCAGGCAAAGCCTGATGGCAAGTCTGGCTTGGCTGTCTGGCCTCAAGAGGCCTTTAAAAGTTCAATCTGAAATTCCTTACAAAAAGTTCCAGCAAAGCATATTTAAAAGAGCCTGTGTAATCAATTGCTCTTCTTGCTGCACCTGTGCAAATAATCAAGCCAGCTGTTAATTATTTTCTTAACCTAGTTACTTCTAGTAAAAATGAGAGTGATTTTAGAGAGAAGTATTGTTTCAATAATGCAGCCTCCTTCCAGAATAAAAAATCCAACTCCAGATGTTGCTACATAACCTAATAACACAATTTGTTTTATCTTGCCTAGAAGCCACAAAACTGCAAATAGTAATAAAAATGAAACCCAGAATAGAAGCGCCAGCCTTCTGAAGCCCTCTCAACTGACCAGTGATGGAGACCTAGCTGCACCCTTTACTGCGCCCCCTTCTCAGCACGAAGCAGCCAGAGCGGTCATCGCCCCTTTTCCCTAGCAGCAGCTAGAGTCTCTATCTGTAGAAGAAAGAATGAGACCATACCCATAGCCTTCCCTGGTAAAAACAGGTATTTAATCCCTCCTCCCGAGGGATAGTGGGCTTGTAACACTGGAGTGACCCCATGTGTCTCTACTTCTGCCTTCAACTCCTCCCGTGATTTCTGTATCATGGTTCAGCTGGTGCCCAGGTTGATGTATCATGATGATCTCTCATTCGTAGCTGAATTTGAACCTAGGCATAGATATAAGAGAGAGCCGGTCTCGCTGACCTTAGCTGTGTTGTTAGGGATAGGTGTCGCAGCCGGAGTGGGAACGGGGGCAGCCGCTATTGTCCAAGGGAACCAACATTATGAAGGACTAAGGACAGCTATTGATGAAGACTTAAAGACCATAGAGCAATCCATTACAAAACTTGAAGAATCTCTGACTTCCCTCTCTGAAGTAGTCTTGCAGAATAGACGAGGGCTGGATCTGCTGTTCCTAAAAGAAGGAGGACTGTGTGCAGCTTTAAAAGAAGAATGCTGCTTTTATGCAGACCATTCCGGAATAGTAAGAGATTCAATGTCAAAGCTTAGAGAAGGGCTAGACCAGAGAAAGAAAGAACGGGAAGCCGGCCAAGGGCTATTTGAATCTTGGTTCACTAGATCCCCGTGGTTTACAACCCTGATATCCACTCTGGCTGGGCCCTTACTCATCCTTGTGTTGCTCCTCACTTTAGGACCCTGCATACTAAATCAGCTGATAACTTTTGTTAGAGAAAGAGTGAGTGCCGTTCATGTACTAATGTTGAGGCAACAATATCATTCACTCACTCAACAAAGAGACACAAACATTTCATGATTGGAATGTCCCTAAAGAGAAGTGGGGAAATGTAGGATCTGAAGAATCAAAAGTTAGCATAAGTACAGCCATCTTAAAGGCTTAAATACCACCCCCTAACCTAGAAGGAGGAAAATTATTAGAATCTTGAAAAACAAGTTAGTCAGCCAGTGTTAAATGTAGTGACCTTTAATTAGCTGACCTCAAATCAGTTAATCATACACACCAAGCTTATCTTGCTAGGACCACCCTAAACATTCCGAAGGTAATCTTATCTAACCAGACCCCAGGATGTGGCCCCAGCCAAAGATTTATGTGTCTATGAAAAAACACTGTATTGTGATTGTGGAAAATGTTGCCCCCTTTGAAAATGCTATAAAACCTTCTGGCTTTGTGTGCTCAGGGTCCTTGTTGAGACCCGCTGCTTCGGGCTAACTTGGACCCCAGCTAGCTGGTTCCTGAATAAATTCCTCTTGCTTATTGCATCAAGAGACGCCTTCCGTGAGTGATTTGGGGTGGCGTCCTCCTCTGGGAAAATCCAACAATAAGTTGCAATTGGATGTCACACTCTCTTGGAGACAGATTTTCCCCCACTTCAAGAGAGTGACATGAATTGGACAACTAGCTCTTATTGACAAATTGTCAAGAATTAAATAAAAATCAGGTTAAGTTACCAAAGTCACACTGTCCTTGGAGACCTTTTATGCCAACACTTAGTAACCATTGATTATTGCAACAGGATTGAGTCTTTAAGTCACATATATCACAATATGATTCATTTAAGTTAAAAATGTATGCTCCTAAAATAACAATGTACATTTTGCAAGAACACATGCACAGCAAACACACTGAAATTGTTCCCTGGGAGTGCGGGCAGGAGGGAAATGGGGAATAAATGGAAATAAAACAAGGGAGCAGGCACTGAGCCTCAAAGAGATGATGAATTCGTCCAGGGTACTGTAGCTAGAAAGTAGTGAGTAACCTATGAACAGAGCTGTCACTCAACAACCAAGGACCCGATTCCGTAACTCCTTGCTGTCTTTTGCTCTTACGTGAAAACAATAACAGCAAAGGATGGAAATGTGACTTGTTATTTATTAATTCTCTCAGACAGTTGCTATGTTTTTACTTGTCCTTTAGAAAGTAAAGCACCTACAAGATTCTCTCTTAAGGAGCTTTCTCCTTCTCTGATCTTGTCTGTTTGGGGTGATTTCATTTCCAGTAGCAGGAAAGGTAAGGTAAATTCATTCAGGTTGAGTTTGCTAAGGTTGTACCAGGATAAATAATTGCAGTTCACTGAGATGGTAGATGATTCTAGAAGGTTAGAAGTGGAAAGTTTTTCAAAATTTTGTTCTTAACTCAATATACTACTCTCTCAGGGATGGCTACTGGAGTTACTATGTGAGGTGCTTTGTGAAAGAGCCTCTGCCCATTTCTGTCTGGTTTATTCCATGGTTGGCATCTACTACAGAAACTGACACCTAGGGGAAAAGCGAAATAAGAATATTAATATGTATTTGCTTTTATTTGCAAAATTACCCACAGAAAGGATAAACCAGAAATTAATGATATTTTTTATGGAAGGGTAAATAAAAATAAGATAGAATTTTCCCTGTTACCAAAAGGGAAAGAGATCTTTCCCTCCTCTTCTAGAGCATTTCCTTGAGAAATTGTATTTGTGAGTGTATAATTTAAAAAATAATACAATAAATCTATAATATAATATATAACAATATAATTGCATTTATGAATGTATTTATGAGTAAACAATATTTATGAGTCCTTTCCCTGTCCCTTTGATATGTATATAAACATTACGTAAGAACTAAAAAAGCCTCGTACCAGCATTACCACCCAGGAATGTTTTTCTTAAAGGCATCTCTTTGCAGTGTAAACCTCAAGCAGACAGTGGCCCTACCTCCTTGTTACCATGGGATTTAAGCCTCGGTGCCTTGCTGCAAGCTGTAACCACCTGCTTGTCATTAGAGACGGAAGTGTGATCTCTCCTTAGGATAAAGTGGCCACTCCCATGACCAGGTAACTTCAGGGGCACAAGTGAAGGAAAGTCTGGCACAGGAGCAACGTCACGGGGCCCGTGAAAGGCCAAGAAAGTGGGAAGAAAGTCACGTTAACTCTAACAAACAGAATTTGTTTTAGTTGTTACGATACGCTCCTTCTGAGGTGGTTGTATGTTGCAAAACATGGATGCATTGTGATTTCATCTCCCTTCTCTCCCTCTGCTCTTTCTTCCCTCCCTCCTTCCTCCACCTGCCCCGTTCCTTCTCTCTTTCTCTCCTTCCCTCCCTCTAACCCTTCCTTCCTTTGCTACTTCCCTCCCTTCTCCCCTTCCTTCCCTCCTTTCTGATCTCTTCCTTTACAGTTAAATCAAACGTATACATTCACACCATTCAGAGAGTCACCATGATCTACAAGGTGGGAGAAGCTGCAATCCAGCCCCCCACCTTATTTCCCACTCCCCAGAAGTGGGATAATTCTTTTAGTGACTATTGTGTTATTTACTGCCATATACTTAAACAATATGCTAAAAATGGAAGTACTTGGTTTAAAAAGTTTTAGGCTCTATCTATTGGCCTCCTACCATAGAACCTCCTCCCTGCTCTACACCTCCTCTCCCACATCCTCCCATCCCAATATCATTTTGTAACTTTGGTTAGATTAATATTTAGTATGTAGATTATTACAACCACGTAAATGTTATTCACAACTGAGCCGTGTCTTGTCCTACAATGACCTTTCCTTCTCTGTATTTTGTTTATTTTTTTGAAGTTAACGAAAACAAACCAAAAAAGCTCTTTGTTCTGTTTCTTTTTCTTAGGTTTCTAAGTACTTACCCTCATCACAGCCCCAAACTCTCCTCCAGTTTGGTAAGTCTTCTCCCCATGTTGTCAAACATTATTTTCACATTCCGAGGAAGTCACTCACCAGCCCTTGACCTAGGCGTGTCCACCTGGCTGCTCTCTAGGCCTGCTGCAAAGTAGCCAGTATTTCCCTCCCCTTCATCCAGAGCTTTCCCTTCACCTCCCTCCTGTATGAGATGTTCTCTTGCATTGCATCCTGTGTTTCTTAAATCCCAGTTCCTTATTTACTATCTGGGTTTACTCCTAATTTTGATGGAACATCTCCTCTCAGCTTCCTGAGGAACGGTGATGTAAATTTTTTACTTAGTGCATAAAAGTATCTTTATTCTTTCCTCACATTGAAATGATTGTTTGGCTATGTTTAGAATTCTAAGTGAGAAATTCTTTACCCACTCTATTTTGAAGGTCTCTCTCTCCATTGTCTTCTAGCTTTTAGTGATGTTGAAACAGCTAATAGCATTTGGATTCTTGGTTTTTTTTTTTACATAAAAACCTTTCTCTTCCCCTCCCCCACAACCCTAACTAGAACTTACAGAATTATCTTGTTACTAGTGTTCTAAAAGTTTACCATAATGTACTTGGTAAAGGTTTGTTTTTATTCATTTGAAAATATATAGCTCTCCTGTCAATGAAATTTTATTGGGTTTTTCCTGAATAATATTTCTTCCTTTTATTTTCTTTGTCCCCTCTAGAACTCTTATTATTCAAATATTGGTCCTCAGAAACTGATCCTGAGGAATAGGATCCTATTTTCCTATTTCATATACCCTGGTTTTCCTCTTTTCATCTGTTTGTTTGAATAGTTTAAAAAAAGTTTTTTCTATTTTTTCTTCTAATCTTTCTTTTGAGTTTTTCAATGATTCAGTTGTTTTAATTTCCAAGAGTTCTTCCAAGTTCTTTAAATGTTCGTTTTTTTCATTGCATTTGTTTTCATTTTTTGGATGTGATACCTTTTCCAATATCTCAATTTACTGATGATAGTTCATTCATTGTTGTTGCATTTGTTATTGTTTTAAGTCTTCCTCTCTCTTCAAATCACTTTTACTATTTGCTTGTGTGGGCTGCTGACTACCATGTTAGATGTTCTCCCAAAGTATCTGGGGATCATCTGATGCCATTTCATAATTAAGAGTAAGACTCCAAAAAGCTGACTGGAAAGTTAGAGCACATGTATGGGTCTCGATGACTGAGCTTCCTTCCAAGGTGATCTCACTGTACCATTTTATTGAGGAATTCCTGATGTCACTATCTTAGTATCTTCTGGACTTCTCTGATTTCTTCCATAACTGCCTTCTTATCTCTTGCCTGGAGGAAATAGGCCCGGCTGCATAATTTTTGGAACTGATTTGGGAAGAAGGTGGGGGCCTCAAAATTTAGTATGCAAACATCTATTTAACTCTCTTGTTTCCATCTCTGTAGGGAAATTGACTGTTATCTTTGTGGCTATAGGGAACTTGATCACTGATCAAAGCAAAAGGGTGGAAGGCCATGGCACCAGGTGGTGCCCATCCAGGTAGGGGAGCATTTGAATTGTTGCTCCGATTCTTGAATCTGTACCTAGAGCCAGCTCAGCAACACAAATCAACCGGGATAGTGACACAGATGGTACTAACCTAATTAGTCCAACTTCAGATGGACAAAAAGCTCACCATGGGCCAGCCTGAAGTAACAAACACCCTGTGCATACTCCATCCCTACGAAGGACTCCCACAGGATATCTATTTCATATCCTGCCCCAAACTAGTTCCCTCTCATCTCCTGTCATCCTGGCCCCAGCATTTCCTTTAGTTTCTCTGAATAGTTTGGTAGGTCAGAAATCTGGGTTCATACCCTGATTTCTGCACTTGAGAGAAGAAACAAAACACCCACCTGACTCAATGTCACTACTCAGCTACCACAGCATTTCTGCAAAGACTTGCCTCTCCCTTTGTAGTAGGAGCTTCAGGTGCACGTTCTTTTCTAAGATAAGTAGGAAGTGGAGTGTTCCTTGCTGATAAATCTCTACTTCCCCTTCCTTCTAGGCCATCCCTTATGTCTTAGTCCATTTGGGTGGTTATGACAAAATACCACAGATTGGCTACCTTATAAACAACAAATTCGTTTCTTACGATTCTGCAGGCTCACAGTCTGATATCAGAGTGCCCGCAGGAGCCTTCAGGTGAAGGCTCTTTTCCAGGCTGCAGACTTCTTGAATTCTCACATTGTGCAAGGATTAAGCTAGCTCTCTGGGTTCTCCTTTGTAAGGGCACTTTTATCCCATTCATTAGAACTCTGCCTAATGACCCAAAGGCCCCATCTCCTAACACCATCCCACTGGCCTTTAGGTTTTCAACATAGGAGTTTTAGGGGGAGACAGACATTCAAACCACAGTACCTTCTTTCACTCCTACTAACCACAAAACACCACATGTGGTTTTAATAATTAAGGGATCAGCAAGTGCAGTCAGACATATCATACATTTGGTTAATCGACATGGCTCTGTACTTGCTGGGTGATACTGTGTTGCTTGCCATGTGAGCTGAGAAACTAGCTCTCTCAGTTCCTCATTTGTAAATGGGGATACTGACCACCTATCTCCTGTGGCTGCTGTGAATATTAAACAATGTGACCCCTGCAAATGGCCTCACTTAACTCATGTAAGTTGTTGCTGTTACACAGAATCATAACAATACTAATAAATAGCATTTTCAGATGCTTCCTATATGCTGAGCAATGTCGCAGGTACTTTTTCTGTGTTATCTCATTTAATCCTTACAAAAGATATGAGGAATCTAAACTCAGAAAGATAAAATCCAAGACCACAAAGAGAATGCCCTGACTTCATCTGCCAGTTAAACTTGAAGCCCTGGGTTCTGTTTTCTAAGGTTCCCTCTCTTTTTCCAAGTCAGGTTCCTAGTGGGAAATTGGTACCACCCTCAAGCTGAGTAATTAAAGAAAGCTGAGTAAGGAGGTGGGTTGGGTTTAGAGATAATAAGAGATGACATAGTTCCCTGGGGCTAATCACACACTAGGGCCGAAGGGGCAAGAGAAGGGAGAACCTAAAATGAGAATTGCAGACAGTGGTCAACTGACAGAACCGTGGACCTGAGTACATGAAATGTCTGTGGTGTGGAAGCCCCAGAAGTAAATACTTGAGGATGCTGCTCTCCTGTGATGACAGGACAATCTCCTATCATGTATAGACAACAGTGGAGCTCACTAACATCTGTGATGGCTGGTGGAGAAGCATGCAGAAGGAAGGGGCAAATGCAAACTAGTAGTGATGCCGTGGACTTCTGACACATACGTTACTTGCCTTTCAGAAATGCATGCTCAAAAACAGAAGTGTGGGGTGGAGGAAAGAGAAACATACAGAATTAATGAAAGGTATTGCTAACATTTTGTTGTGCATCTTCCCTAAGAAGCAAACTTGTAGAACCACCCTCATTTATCACTACCAAATCTTCACCTTGCCTAAATCTGTGCCCTCAGCATGCCTTCCCTTCTCTAATTTTGTAAGAATTATCCTTCCCATGGGAGGGAATACTTCCAAACTCATTCTATGAGTCCAGCATCACTCTAATACCAATACCAGACAAAGATACCACAAAAAAAGAAAATTACAGACCAATATCCCTGATGAATATAGACGCAAAAATACTCAACAAAATATTAGCAAACCGAGTTCAAAAATACATCAAAAAGATCATCCATCATGACCAAGTGGGATTTATTCCAGGGATGCAAGGATGGTACAATATTCAAAAATCAATCAACATCATATACCACATTAACAAAAAGAACAAAAATCACATGATCATCTCAATAGATGCTGAAAAAGCATTTGACAAAATTCAACAGCCATTCATGAAAAAACTCTTAACAAAATGGGTATAGAGGGCAAGTACCTCAACATAATAAAGCCATATATGATAAACCCACAGCTAACATCATACTTAACAGCGAAAAGCTGAAAGCTTTTCCCCTAAGATTGGGAACAAGACAAGGATGCCCATGCTTTTATTCAACATAGTACGGCAGGTCCCAGCCACAGCAATCAGACAACACAAAGAAATAAAAGGCATCAATATTGGTAAGGAAGAAGTCAAACTGTCACTTTGCAGATGACATGATATTGTACATAAAAAACCCTAAAGAATCCACTCCAAAACTACTAGAACTAATATCTGAATTCAGCAAAGTTGCAGGATACAAAATTAATACACAGAAATCTGTTGCATTCCTATATGCTAACGATGAACTAGCAGAAAGAGAAATTAGAAAAATAATTCCATTCATAATTGCATCAAAAAGAAAAAACTACCTAGGAATAAACCTAACCAAGGAAGTAAAAGACCTAGACCCTGAAAACTACAAGATACTCTTAAGAGAAATTAAAGAGGTCACTAATAAATGGAAACTTATCCCATGCTCTTGGGTAGGAAGAATTAATATTGTCAAAATGGTCATCCTGCCTAAAGCAATCTACAGATTCAATGCAATCCCTATCAAAATACCAACAGCATTCTTCAATGAACTGGAACAAATAGTTCTAAAATACATATGGAACCACAAAAGACCCCAAATAGCCAAAGCAATCTTGAGAAGGAAAAATAAACCAGGGGGATCTTGCTTCCCAACTTCAAGCTCTACTACAAAGCCACAGAAGTCAAGACAATTAATTTGGTACTGGCACAAGAACAGACCCATAGACCAGTGGATCAGAATAGAGTCCAGATATTAACCCAAGCATATATGGTCAATTAATATACAATAAAGGAGCCATGGATATACAATGGGGAAATGACAGCCTCTTCAACAGCTGGTGTTGGCAAAACTGGACAGCTACATGTAAGAGAATGAAACTGGATTACGTCTAACTCCATACACAAAATAAATTGGAAATGGATCAAAGACCTGAATGTAAGTCATGAAACCATAAAACTCTTAGAAGAAAACATAGGCAAAACTCTCATGAATATAAACATAAGCAACTTCTTCATGAACATATCTCCCTGGGGAAGGG